CCTGCGGGCCATGGGGGCTGCGTCTGCCGCGTGGTGACGTTGGACAATCAACGTGGATACCCAAAGTTCGGAATGCGGTGAGCAAGCAATGGCTCACTGGCTACTCGGTGTTCAAAGAGTCAGCCACGATCCGGAATTGCGGCCTGCTCTGAGAGAACGGGTCATTCTCTGACAGATCGTCGCGAGCCGTTGCGGCAACGGGCAACTGGAACCGGTTTTTGGATGTCAGGACCTCGAGTCTGCTATGGCCCTTGGAGCTATCCTAGTATGTTCTTGGCGTGCGCTCTTGGGCGATGTCGGCTGGCGAAGTGGTTCGGACATGCACGCTCTAGGTCGGTCAGATGGCGTGCGGCTGGCGTGAGGCTTGCAGGCGCTGCGCCAAATCCGTGCTGTTCTGTCTTTGAGAGATTACTGAGCTCCGTCGACCCTGACCGGAATGAGACGACATGCGATGGTGGCTAAGATCGAACCACGCGGTGGAGTACGAGACGCACGCGATGGCAACGTAGAGCGCTTCACAGCTCGCCACAAGTAGAAGCGACCGACACGATCGACGCTTCAGGATGTGGGGAACGTGGTAGGTAGGGGTTGCAGCAGCTCGGGCACATGGGTACCCCTTCACTGGTTGCAGCTCGGTTGTACCCACAAGTACTCCTCGACGCTTGCGTGCTTCGCTGCCATTTGTTTAGATCTCGGTAATCAACGGGCAGGGATGACCATTAAGGCAATGGCAAGGATGTGAACAGTGGACGGGCGACCGTTTTGGCTGCCGTCAGCTTTTAGCCTGATAGCGGGTCGACTTGGTCTTGGTACATGAAGCGGGCGTCAGCCACATGGATATATTGACCTATGGTATAGATGCCTTGCCAGGTCGAACAGATTCGATCCCAGACCCTAGCATGGCGTAACGTTGAGGTAAGCGACGTCAAAGTTACTGCGAATGACCGATGAAGGTCTTGGCTATGTGGAGGGTCGTCCCGAGGAAGGCTGCTTACAGACAGCATGCCGTAAGAAGGAGCGTCACAACGGTGTAACCGCACTTTGGCGAGAAGCAGGGCACGCCGCAACCCTTCACAAGGTTATTGATCTTCACGTGTCAGCCTCACGCTGGGACTCTGTCTGAAGGAGTCATAATCCGTGTCGAGAGTTCGAGACCCACATGCCGTTGCGTTCGGCGTCACCGGAGCTAGGTTCGCTGCATCTTGATAGGATTCAACCCAAGAGTCCGTCTCGACGTTTTTGCCAGTCAAAGCTCCGAACCAGTCTCGTAGCCCGCAATGACAAGACCAGATCACGCAGTCATTCTGTTAGCACATCGAGTGCTGGAGGCCGGTTCCAAAAGCAGTTACCAAGGCTGCGTTGGCAGAAGGCGAAAGCCGTTTCAGGTCAAGCGACTGCGTGCATGCAGTTCAAGACTACTAACTATTTGTAAATGCACGAGGAGAACAGCGGCACGGCCCTAGCACCTGCAGAAAGCTCCTCTTTCCGAAATACTGGACGGCTGGTAGTTGTCGCTAATGCGAAGTAGACGCCAACAATCACCCGATGTCGTCTTTTATTGACGAAAATATTTTTATAACCAATCATCACCTCCAGAGCCAATAATTGGGTTGATAATGGTTGCATGGCTTTGGCCTGGAGCTCTCGGAACCGGGAGCCACATCTGGACTTCCGACCGGCCATGCTCGACTAGACCGGAGCTGCTGTAGATGCGCGGGATCGCGATGCAAGCGTTGTGTATACTTACGCGACATCGCAAAGTTCGCTTTGCGCGTCTCCTCAATGGAACTTCCCGTCTATAGGCCAAAGGTTCTTGTTCACGTGCTGCGTCCTAGTTATCATACCGAGATAGTTGTGAAAAGGGAATCAGTGTTGAAAGATCGACAAGTAGTTCGGGATTGTACCCTGTGCTGAACGGCATCCTAGCAGCATCGGGAGCTCACCCGCCCGGCCAGCAGCGGGCGGCAAGGCATAAGCCGAGCGCCTTAATGCGATTGTCTCGAACGCAAGATCCAGCCCCAAATCGAGCCCAAGGCCTTCGGGAAGACGTACGCGCATCTATAATCGGCCGGGCGAAGCTATAACAACAAACTTTTATCATGATGAACGTGAGGACGGGTCAGCCATGGACGAATGTGCCCTCCGTTATACTCTCGACTAAAACGGATCTCCACATACCGACGGTAGCCTGCAGATACCTATAGGTACTCGTAACTACTCATAGCTACCTGCAAGGTGTTGTCAGGCACCCCTGAATAGACTGTAACAAGTGGACAGGTTCGTGGACCGTCGGCCCTGGAGTCCTGGAGCAATTAAGGCCTTCGAGAAGCTTTCCGAAACCAGGCTATCATTCAGAATTGGTATTATCATAGCAAAGAGCTATTAAGATGCCCTTTGCGCTTTTGGCCTTTGTCTTCAAATGTGGGGTATGCAATACAAGCAGGGTTCCCGGCAATATTCCCCAGGTCCGCCAAGGTGATATCGTGGTATAGATTGTACACGAAAACTGTCCAAGTCAACAGGCGCGCTGAGCTCGCAGCCCCACGCAGCATCATGCGTTTTCCCGAAGGTCACACAGCTGGAGACATTCGCGGCTTCTGCGAAGTTTAACAGGCCCAAAAGTTTGACGCTTGGTGAAGTTCATGGCGACAGCAGGGCCGACTCTCCAGCGCTGTTTGAAGCTTATAAGGGGTAAGCTTCACGAGCTTAGCCGCGATCTTCCGGGAGCAGGCTGCGGCGACGAAGCGGAATGTGGAGAAGCTTGATCTCAATCGTGTTGGAATACATCTTGGCATCTAACGTATCGCTACGTGCCGAGCATGGACATGCCAATTTCTGAACATCGGTCGAGCAGCTGCAAAAGAAATCCAGGGACAACCACATGCCTTGCTGCATGTACTCCGGGCTGACGAGACTGCGATATAGTTCTGTACTATATTCTCACGCATCTTCCCGTACCCTGATGCGCTTATTGCATGCCCCTATCGAGGCACAAAACACTAGACTCGGATCAGTTTGTCAAGAACGCAACGTGTCTTATACGAATCTTGAAATACGGAGTATAGGGGTATATGTGAGGTTGTGACTATAGTACTGCACGAGCTACCAACATTCGTGTGACCGCAGGTATGCAGAACAATTAGGAGGTGATTTAGATGAAGGGCCTTCGACGCGTCTCGGGCCGAATGGTGAATAAAGGACGCGGCAGGTTATGTCTGGAGGCACACCGATGTGTGAAAAGGCTACTGCATCGTGCTCGAGGGAAATGGTGCGTACGAAATTCGTGTTCTCCTATGTCACAAGTAGGTCAGCATGGGTTGAATCTGGCGCTCGATAGTTGGAACAGCCACGGCAGATGTCGACAACGCACTCACATTGATGGGTGTGTTGGAAACCGGACGTGGTCGCGATGGTACCTTGGAAGAGCTTGAAGCTTGGGCCGTGTGCTCTTATGACGTATTCGGACCACTCAGCCTCATGGACCCTCTCCCTCACGTGCGTTTCGTCTATCTTCCTTTCCAACTCATCTTTACGGAGTGCTTAAAAAGCTCAGCCATTCAACCCAAGTTGCGCGGGTCCATTAGATCGCACCCGCCTTCTGCATGTAAGGAGTGAACTGTCCAGCGCATGAACGCGTCGAGGACGTGGGAAAGTCGAGTCTCATTGTCAACACACACAAACGTCGCATTATTCCGGGGCGCACGACGAGTCCTTCAGAACGCGAGATGGTTCCATCGAGATTGGTACGTAGATCCTGAGCACGGGGAGGTCACTGCCTTCATCCATCGATGGGATACAGCATCCATTGGTATTGTCGTGTTTTCGAGCCACCTCTTTTTTCCCTTTCAACCTGAAGCCTTCCTACTCTTCTGGGCCAATTGATTTCTGTTCCAAGGTTTCCGTCATACATCGCGTCTCCCACATCATTCTCAACGGATCTTGCCAGCCCACTGGCCGCATCATCATCTCCACAATCCGCACATGTCGAACGCCATCCTCAACATCGAAGACCTATCCCCACTCGCATGAGGGTCACCAGAGCATCTCTGACACATATATCACTCCTCTGACAATCTCCGTCGCATTACTCAAATCTCCCAACACCCATGAGGGACGCCACAACACCATTTTCCACCAATCGGTAAGCCACACGGCAACCACATCAAGCCACATGTCACCAAAATTAGCAAACACTGCTCCCACTACCTTCTAGAAAGAGCTTGGAAGCATGTAGGAACGATCCTTGATGAGCGGTGCAGGCGCTTAGGGAGATGTTGGTGGTGGTGCAGCAGGCTTGTGTGTGGATTCACGGACCGTGGCGATCTACAGCTTTGACGATGCTGCGCGTACGGTATGTACGATGAGATTATGTTGGTGGTAGACGGACGGACGGACGGACGGGTAGAGGCGAAAGGAGGGATTGCAATGGCTTGCAGACTGCAGTCGCGGAGATGGACCGGTTCTTGGTAAAGTGAGTATCTGCAGCAGATGACTGGCCGGAAGCTTAAACGGACGTTTTGAAGAACAGGTTTTTTCTTTGGGCAACGCCGTGTGACGATTGTCAGAAGCAGCTGGAGATAGCCTGCACATCGTCTCCGTCAGCGGATGTATGAGGGTCATCCGTTTTAGTATACACACAGTTCATTTTAACAGACAATTGATTTCTACTGCATCTGGGTCAGTTGATACACTTCTGTTTCGCACACTTGCATGCTGTAAAGATATCTGCGGCTACTTAACGGCTACGTTGCTGTAGTACCCACACGAAGACAGCTCTGGTAGTCGGGAGTTATGACAGAATCGAGGTGCAAGGGAAATGAATGGACATGCTATTGCATAGGATGTGGTGAAAAATGATCGATTCAAGAACCTTTCCGAGGTGGTCTAGCATTCGGTCGCGTTTGAGTGATGCAGCGCGCTTCTAGTCATGGCAGATACCCATTACACTGAATCAGATATAGCCCTTGAGTGCCATAATTGTCTGTGTCTAGGAGACACTCTCATCTCATTGGGTCCAGGACGATATTATCGATCAAGCGCACAGGTACCTGTCGACCTTCAGAGTCCAGCTGGCCTAAATCTTCACCCTCTTGCGGCTCCTCGACTGGCAGCATCTTGACTGCACCACTAAGTATAGCGCCTTTCGAATCATCAATTTGGTCAATCTCTTCCATGGTATCAGGGTCTGCAAGGCTAATGTAGTCGAACTCAAACTTTGCGCGTTTGCTAGGCTCCATCTGTTCTTGCTCGATCAATGTCATGTTACCGTGGTCGAAAGCAGGCCAGAGGACGTCATTCCGTAACCTCATGCCATTGTTGTATTGTAGTTCTGCTTTGCGAAGCGCTTGATTGAGGACAATGCCAACATTACGACGACGCGCGCCGAGGTAGACATTGCGAGAAGAGAGCGCAAGGCCGTCTGACTCTCTTGAAGTGGGAATGATACGCAAGCTGGTATCCAGATGGAAGTCCTGGATCAGGCGCTTGATGACGCGAGTTTGCTGGACATCTTTCTGCCCAAAGTAGACGCGATCTGGCGCGCAGATGTTGAAGAGCTTCATGCAGACCGTCGCTACGCCGCGGAAGAAGACGGGTCTTGACGCACCTTCGAGAAGCTGGCCAAGCGGACGCATCTCGACGAAGCTCCCCACACCTGGTATACTGCTGTCCGGCGGCAGTGTGGGGTACATGGTCTTTGTGGTTGGTGCGAACACAGCCGTCACGCGGCCTTGGTTTGCGCTCGCCAGCTCCTGGTTCAGCTCTTCCAAGACTCGCATATCTGCCTCCCATGTCTTCGGGTACGAGGCAAGATCCTCATTCAGTCCAAACTGTGTAGGGTTCACGTAGATGGTAACGAAGACGTCGGTGTTCTCGGCGGCTGCATGTCGCATGAGCGAGACATGACCCTCGTGCAGGGCGCCCATTGTCGGAACCAGGCCAACTGTGCGATTGTTGGAGCGGAGGGTTCGGCGATAGTCACGTAGGGGCGCAACATCGCGGAAGATTTGGGTTGCGGGTGTGGGCGAGGTATTGCGCAGTGATGAACTGGTGGACAGGCATCGGATGCCATTGCCGATAGGAGCGTGCAGTGGACGCGCAAAGCTCCTGACCAAGCATCTTCGTACTATAGGCACTGCACGCGATTAGTTGTTGTGGCCAATGGCTTGTGTTGAGGTGCACACTCACCGGCTGCGAAACGGAGGGAAGCCATTGCGGAGAGTTGCGGAAGTGTCGCGGACAGAGTTCTGCCTTAGCTATCGCCTCGCGCAAAAATGGGGAAGAAGCGAGGATGTCTCTCTCGCAACACGAAAGCGGACAAATCGCGAAGAGTCAGCGAGGAGGCAGCCATGGTGATCAAGTTGAGAAAGGTCAAGACGACTCGTTTCTGCGCTGAAGGTCCCATCATGGAGGGAGTGCCCGTCTGAGCCTAGTGCCCCACTAAAAAGATCCCAGGCTTGAGATTTCCATCTCTTTCGCATCTGCACCCCGCCAGATCTCCAACCACACGCGACGATATACGACACCATGGCTGACGATGGCATGCTCCTCAACTTCTCCATACCGGACAGTGGCATATTATCCAAACCCTCATTCAAAGGCGGCAACTGGAAGGAGCGCCTCACTGCGAAGAAGGCGGCGCAGAACTGGCACACCAAGGCTACAGCACGACTAAACGGCGAGAAGGTACCGAAACAGGTAGTCGACAATGCGACAAATGTAAACCGCATAGAACTAGGCCCGAGGAAGGCACGTGTGGAGAAGAGCCCAGAGTTTCCCGATTCCGGCGACAGGCCAGTAAAGCGAGCGCGCGTGAGCGGAGACTTCAGACCAAGGACGACGGAAAAGACAGACGATGTCAACTTCAGACCTCAATCGAACCCGAACCCGAACCCCGCGAAAAGACCAAGCGAGCAGAACAATGCGCCAAAGGGTGGAAAGCAGGTCATTTCCTCGCTGTTCACCTACAACCCCACATCGAAGACGAAGCCCGAAGCGAACGAACGCCGCGAAGACGATGCGCTCGTAGAACCCTCGAACGCGCCACTCAGCAGCGAGCTCGACACCTTCACATCCCTTGGCATGTCCACGACCATTGCGGCGCATTTGCTGAAGAAGATGGATTTGAAGGCACCGACCGCGATTCAGAAGACTGCCGTCACACAACTCATTAAAGACGATTCGGACGCCTTCATACAGGCCGAGACCGGTTCGGGAAAAACCCTGGCATATCTGCTACCTATCGTACAGCGACTCATGGAGCTCTCTGCGAACATGAGGAAGCGCAAAGTTGACGAAAGCGTGCAGAGAAACTCGGGTCTTTTTGCCATCATTCTGGCACCGACACGCGAGTTGAGCAAGCAAATCGAGCATGTGCTAGAGAAGCTTCTAGGCTGCGCGCATTGGCTTGTTGCTACAACCGTTATTGGTGGTGAGAAGAAGAAGTCTGAGAAGGCACGATTACGCAAGGGCATCAACATACTCGTCGCGACACCTGGTCGATTGGTCGATCATCTGGAAAACACAGAAGCTTTGGATGTCAGCAATGTCAGGTGGCTCGTTCTGGATGAAGGTGATCGGCTCATGGAGCTTGGTTTTGAGCAGGAGATCCAAAAGATCGTAGGAGCATTGAATCTGCGAATGCGCGCGAGGAAAGACGAGAAGTCAAGAATACCAGGCCTGCCAGAAAAGCGCACAACGGTACTCTGTTCCGCAACCATGAAAATGGACGTGGAGAGGCTTGGGCAGATAAGTCTGAAAGACGCAGTGCACATTCGAGCCGATCCTTCAGAAAAGGGACCAGAAACAAGCGAACCAGGAGGTGGCCATTCATTCTCTGCTCCAGCGCAATTGAAGCAGTCTTACGCCGTGGTGGCACCGAAGCTCAGATTGGTATCATTGATAGCCTATCTGAAACGAGCTTTCGCGCGGAAGGGATCTGTCATGAAGGCTATTGTCTTCATCTCGTGTGCCGACTCTGTCGACTTTCACTTTGACATGCTCACCAGCGAAATCGAAGGGATCACCGAGACAAAGAAGAAGGAAGAGGTACAAGAAGAGGAGGAGGGCGACAAGGCTGAGGAAGCCGCCGACGACGCAGAAAAGAAACCAAAGAAGACCAAAGCGATAACACAGGCAGACCCCACCAAGCTCACAGTGACAGGTGCGGAGTCACCCGTACTTTCTGCAAAGACGCACACAGTCACAGCATACCGTCTCCATGGTTCATTACAACAAGCCGTGAGAACTTCGACACTCGCTCAATTCACAAAGAACAAAACCCCTTCGGTTCTCATCGCTACAGATGTCGCATCCCGTGGACTTGATCTTCCAAACGTCGACCTGGTTATCGAATTTGATCCTGCCTTCGCCCGAGAAGACCATTTGCATCGAATCGGTCGTACCGCACGTGCAGGTCGCGACGGACGAGCATGCATCTTCCTAATGCCGGGAACTGAAGAAGGCTACGTCGAGATCCTAAAATCAGACAGAAAAGACCTAGAAGCTGGAGTACATGTTGTGCGTCAAGATGCCGATGACATCCTCAACCGAGGATTAGTCACCAGCGGAGTAATGGAAAAGAACGCCTACATGGACAAAGCAACCGACCTCCAGCTCGCCATTGAGCGCTGGGCTCTAGCATCCCCTGCTCGTCTGGAAGCTGCTCGACGAGCCTTCCAAAGCCACATTCGCGCCTACGCAACCCACGTTGCAGATGAACGTCAATACTTTGATATCAAATCGATGCACCTGGGTCACTTGGCTAAGGCATTTGCTCTTCGTGAACGACCATCTGGAATGAAGATTCCGGGACAACGAACAGGTGCTGGACGAAACGACAAGACACCTGCTAGGGTGCGCGGCGGGCCGAAGGTGGACCTGGCCAGTCGCAAGGCTGATACGGGTACATCGAAGAGGGCAGTCGTGGATCTGGATCTTCCAGAGGGTGCCGACACGGATGAGGCAGCGAAGATGAGGAAGGCGGTTCGTGCGAAGGAGAAGTTTATGCGTCATGCGGGTATGGCGAGCGAGTTCAACTTGGGTTGAACATATATATCGTAATGAAGTGTCAGCCTTGTGGCACATCCCTCTATTGAAGCTTTCCATCTTCTCTGAATACATTAAAGAGGCCGAGGTGACGAGGTCTCCAGCAAGTCTAGCTCTGGTATACCTCGGTGCGCCTTTGACCAATAAACCCAACCTACGCCGTGATGAAGTGGTGCCGTTTACACTTCCACATATCTGCTGGATATCACTACTTCTACACGGCAACATCTGGCACCTGAGCATTTCAAGACTAGGCCGGATTAGTACTACCGAGGCTCATCGAGCGCCATCATGTGACATCATCAGCCAGCCCAGGCCAATGCCCCCAATCTACCGCACGCGACGCGCCGCCATCATCGAAGCATATATCATAAAGCGAGGTAACAGAATCGTGGTCGCAGCGAAGTGATATGCTGCGGATTCCAAGCGGGAAGTAGGTTAAACGATGCTGAGCGAGCTGAGCTGTGTTCCGTTCCAAATCCAATCAAGTTATCCCTTGCAAGCCACATGCCCAGATGTCGTCTAGGCCTCCAGCCGTGTGCATCACTAGATGACCATACGTGACATGGCCACTGGTGATGAGCTGCGCCGCGCGAACTCGGGACCGTATTTCTTCCATTTGTTAAGCGATGAGTTTCGGAATCAGCATTGGAGATGTGCTCAAGCTGTGTGAGCTAGCTGGTAGAGTCTACAAGAACTGTCTGCTTTCCCCGCCACCCCGTACCTAGGTAGCTCTCATCGTGCTGACTTCAACACAGGTCGCGACTGCTCCGGCGAATACAAGGATCTTACATCGCAAGCACGAACGTTAACGAACCTACTCGAGGACATTCAAGACAAGTACGACAAGATACCCGAGAGCAAGCGGCAGCAGCTCATCGACGCGTACGAACCGTGTATCGAAGTGCTCGAAGAGCTAGATAAGCTGGTGCTGCACTACAATGGGCTCGACACGAAAACCAAACGCGCTTGGGACCGGCTCAAGTACGACCCTGAGAAGTCACGAAACATACGTGAGCGCCTCATCGCGAGCGTATCGATGCTCAATTCCTTCTATACATCCCTGATACACGATAGCCAGGTTCTTATCCTAGAGGCTTTGGAGAGGTTGGAGAAGGACTACAAAGGCGGTCATCGCGAAGAAAGCATTGCTTCCATCGGGAGACTCACGTCTGGAGGCACAGCCGACGATGACGACGATGACGAGGAGGCATGGAGCCAGATTCTCCGTGACCTTGAAGATGTGGGAGTATCGCAGCAGCAGGCTCTAAGCTACCGGGACGTCATCGTAGACTGGCTTGTCACAGCTGTCAACGAAGGGAGGCTTTTGGAGGAGCGGCCAGAGCATGATGGTCTAGGAACTATCTCTTCGGATCTCGGGACCACTCTTCCTGAATTTGACTTCGATCAACGACCGCATAGTGTTGATGTGCCAGCGATCGTCTCACCTGCGTACCGGGGCTCACACAGTCCTCCCACAGCGCTGCCTCTGGCGTCTAGCCCGCCAATAACGCAAAGGCAGCAGATCTATCTAACCCCTTCAGCAACTTCTCGAGCACATTCGACCACCTCCTTGCAACCGTCCCAACCTGCTGAGTTGGAGGCATCATCGCTCTACGCGGTGCCACACCCAGCGTCACAGCCTACTACTCCCATGGGCTCCAACAGCCATGCGATCAGACGCGTTCCAGTTCAACCCCCAAGAGCTACGGTTCCTGTCACGCCCACGTACAGTATCCCAATCATAGCGCCTACTTCCCCAACTGGTTCCTCTTTACCAGAGCCTTCTTTTACAGCTAACATGGGAATGTCCGGTGCACCTCGGACGTATGATGAGAAAGAAACATTAGTTACGGTGGACCTCGAGTGGAACGCACAACAAATAGTTGCCGCGTGGACTCGGGGTGACTTTGTCACTGCAGAGAAGCTTCTTGAAGACCAGCTGGCAGCTGTCGAACGGGGACAAACATCTAGGTCTGGGACCCAGCCCGACCGACGTATTCTTAGGCATCTACTTGGAGTTTGTGCCTCCTACACTGGGAAATACGCAAGAGCAAAATATTTGTTCGAAAGCGTGTTCAACGGAATCTACCTGAATCGTCAAAACCTGGACGATGGTGATATAGCTGCAGCACGGTGGCTAGGGGACGTCTGTCTACATATTCA